TGAATTTACTCCTCATGCATTTAGAACTGCTGGAACCAATTTCTCACCTTTCTATGACTTAATTGTTGTTTCTCTTTCCTTTCTTACTTTTCTCTCTTCACAAGAAAGCTTTTTACCCTGACTTTGCAGGAGATGTGGTAACCAGACTAGTTTTAAAGGCAGCCTGTCACTGCAGACTCCAGGCCTGTTGTGAAATCACTGTTAAAAGGTCTATGTGTTGGAGAAGACAAAAAAACTGGCAAATTTTTCCTGATTGACTCTGAGTATATTTGGAGAGAGGAAGGGGGGAAATACTGACCTATATTTTTGACACATGCTGTGCACCAACTTAGCCTTGTTAAGGGAGCAGGAGCTGCACTGGTGGCTATTCCCTTCTGAGAGCAAACGTCAATGGCATCACCTACTCAGAGAACCGGAAGAGAGAAAATGTCAGATCATCATGTGGTACTTGTAAAAATGCCGTTGAGACAACATAGGATTTAGGTAGCTACAGAGCTGCCCCAGGTTCTCATATTAAAAGTTAATTCATGCACAGAAAAAATCTGGAAATATATACATCAATATTTACAAAGATCATCTCTTTTATAATGCAAAACAACATAAAGAAGGAAAAGTTATACTGTGTACACCATGATGTCCCCCATGACAAATGGCATAGTGCAGGGCAGTAGAAATTCTATCCTTACTTATATATTCATTGATAGCATTCCTTCCCCACTTGAGTGTTACTCTTTTTTATTTATTTGTTTACTCTTGTCATTCTATTATAAACTTTTTCTTTCATCCTTGTCAATTCTGAATGTTTTCCCATCTGCAACTCTCTTCAACAGGTTATTTTTTAGAGCTATTTGGGGAAATGTTTCCCCATTGCTTCTGAGGCTCTTATTTTTAGTTCTACTAGTTGAGCCCTCCTCTGGGGGGACTTGCCATCCTCTGGCCTCTGGATTAAGAGCTGGTGGAGGCAGCAGATGGTGGGTCAAAACACTCAAGCAAAAACGCTGGTAAGTGATCTGAGCCTGGCAGTGGGTCAGGAATTTTGAAAGGGCTCAGCTGAACAATCTTCTGCTCCTTTCGGCTTTAGCTGAGGTCCACATTTAGCTGCATTCAGCTGGAATCTGGGATGAGTTGGAAGGTGAGAGAAGGCTACACCCACGTTTGGCCCCTCAGTGCTCTGCCACATGGCTCTTCTCCCCCTCCATGTTCCTCTTTCCATTCGGTNGCCACATGGCTCTTCTCCCCCTCCATGTTCCTCTTTCCATTCGGTAGGCTAACCTGAGTGTCTTCACAGCATGGTAGTTGGCTTCTCAGAGAGAGAAGTGTGTCCTTGGCTTGGAGGGCCCAGAACATCACTTCCACATTTTGTTGGTCTAAACAAGGCACAGAACCAGTGCTGATTCAAGCAAAGGAGAGATAGATTCCACTCTCTGGAAGTCAAAGTATCTGTGGCCATCTTTAACCCACAGTAATATACGCTAGTAACTCTGCTTCTCTGTTTTCTGCACTTTAACTACATTTTATATTTTGTTTCTGTGTCTTTATATCAATTTATCATTTAAAACAGATTTCCCAACAAAAAGAGATTTGGAAAGCCTCCCAGCCATGAGTTATACAATCATGCTTTTATTTCCCTTTGAAAAGTCAATTTTTTCTACACATAAATTCACAGATATGTATTATACATTTTAAGCCAAAAGAAAATTTTAGCTAGTTTCTAGTATATAAGCACCATTGTACTTGCCCAGCTATTTATTTTGCAAGGATTTATGTACTATAGTGTAAACTTGACTAGCATAATCTGTTCAGGACAAAACATTTAATAGTATAGATATATTGTTTCAATGTATTAGTTAAGTAAAAATAGATATGTTTTGCAACATTTATCAAAGAAGAAAATAAAGGTCATAGAAACTTAATCAACCAAGTTTTCTTACACAGTGCATATTGCTTGAGTCAAGGGAGAAAAGATTGGAATTAAAATCTGTATTGCATTTTGAGAAATGCTGTGCAAGAAGAGAGATGTTACTAGAACTGCTGAGTGAATTTTGTTTACTGCAGTTCAACATTTCATCAAACAAATCGTGTGAGAAGGGACGAGTATTAATGCACCTATTTATGTAGGTAATTTTTCTGTTTCATGCCTCTGATTCATCTCTCTGCCTTGCTTTATGGGGAGTCATGCTACATTGGTTACAATTAATTTCAGTGCTGCATATTAGCCATAAAGAGATATTTCATAAATTGACTTGATGTAATTTTTTTTTCCTCTGTGGTTTTCTTGAAAGATGAGAACAGTCCAGAGGAAAAACAAAGTGCAGAAGAAATGGAAGGGCAGAGCCAAGAAGCAGGTGGGCTCAGATTTCTTTTGAGGAGTCTCCTAGGCCTCATCCGCAGAGGTGAACAATGACTTTACTCAGTGCTATTTTCTGAAATTGCTTATACTTTTTACTACGTTAACTTCAGTGTTCATTCAGGTTCTCCTTTTAGATGCTACCACCATGGTTAACTATGAGTGACAGGGCTCCCAATCAGAAGAGTACATTGTCATGTCTCATTAACCAATTCTGTTTTTCTTCCCTGTCATAACAGTTTGCTTAGTAATGCTCTATGACGGAGGCAGGCAGAGCTTGGGAATACCAAGTTAGAGCTTGACTGACTTAGGGCAGGTCAAAACGAGAGAATTTTTTTTTTGGGGGGGGGGAGTAAATTGAAAAATGTTTTAAGGAAGTAAGTAAGAGGCTTTCCCTCCACAATGAGTGGAGTGTTATTTCCTGTTTTGCATTAAATTTGGAAGAGCCATATTTCCAGGTATTTATTTGCATGTTGTAGGAGATGGTGTCATGGAGCTGACTACCCCCCCCACACACACACACACACAGAGCTAAAGTGAGATCCAAAGGTTTCCTGACATCTCCCCTGTTCACTAAAGAACAGATGTGTCCATTGAATGTTCATAGATTCTCAGCTGTAGATTATAAATTGAACATTTAAAATAAAATAGCACTTAAGACTCAAAAGAGATCATCATCACCTTCGATTTATTTTCTCTTTTACTCATTTTTGTACTCAGGCAAGCTCTCCTTTAAAAATGATAGGCACAATTGTGCAGCTATCAACATAATCACCCAAATAAAAATATCCTACTTCCCTTTAGCTTCCAAGTCATTCTTCCAGTTCTAATGAGCCCCATGGGGGGTGGGGGACATTTTTTAAATAGTGGGCTCTAATGTGTGCAAGGCATATCCTAGGGCCGTATGCTGAACTCTGGGAAATAAACCAGGTAGTATAATAAGTTTTTCACTGAAAACTTCCTTACATTAACCTTGGAACTTTTGCTAGAGAACTGGAAGCTTTTATTATTAACCTGGAAGATGGAACTGAAGAAGGCCAATCAGAGAAAGCACTGAAGCAAGGCAGCAAAGACCTTGCATAGCTGCTACTGGGTCATCTGGCTCCTTTACTGAAATGTAGTACTTGCAATGAAATGAATTCTGATATAGCAAACTGTTGTTACCCACCCCCCACCCCAGCTCCCTACCCACACATCATTATACTCTGTGGAAGATGAGTCTTTTATGAAAAGCTGTCACTGTTTTTATTGTTTGGGGCTGACAAATATTAATCAATTAACTACTGACAGCTGAGGCCATTCTCTATTCTAAATGTTGAAGTTTCACAGGTTTTATTCACTCATTGCTCTGTCCAAACTGTCTTTATCAACATACACACACACATACACACACACACACACACACACGCATGCATGCGCACACGCTTGCATATATACATGCATAGACATTTGCCTCTGTTTTATTTATTCATCATTTTACCCTCAATCAGTTGAGAACAGGCAGCTTCTTTATCAGTTTGGGATTATCTTTCTTATAGCAGAGAGTGGTAGAATGTAAGTCCTCTTCTCCATCTCTTAGGTCAATAGTGTTATCCCCACAATATGGGTACCTCTCAATGTAAAGAAGATTCCTAAATGAACACCTCAGGGGCTTATACTCTTCTAAGCGAGCCTGCTGGCTGGCATGGAGTCCCATGGCACACTACATCTGCTATGCTAGGCTTCATGGCCAGTGTTGGCATACATTGTTAAGCCCAATCTGCTCATTTCATAGCCTCCCTAATCCAAGTGCAGAAAAATTGAAGATGTGGTTCTGGTTATTGTTGTTATACTTCCAAAATAAAAATACTTGCCTTTCATTCAATATAATTTCCAACATCAATTTTGATTATATAACGGCAGGCCTCTTCCATATCATGAAGGAAACACAATCTTAAACCAACATAATCCGGAAGTTTTTACTGCTATCATAATCAAATCAAAGTTGTAGGTAATATTCCTCAGTTATTAAAAAAATATATATCATGGCTTTACTGTGACCCAAGCACTGTTCTGGACACTGAGATACAGCAGTAAACTATAAAGACAGTATCCCTGCTTCCTTGAAGTTTATATTCTAGTTGGGAATGGGGATCCGAAAATAGACAATATGCAATAAAAAAATAAAAAAATAAAAAAAGTGTAAGATAAATGCCTTACAGAGAAATGAGGTAATGTAGAAGGAATATTGATAAGGCCACTTTCCATTGGCTGCAATTGGGGATGAATCCCTTGAGAAATGATAATTAAAATGAGATCTAAATGATAAAATGGTGAAAGTACATTCAAATGGAGGGAAATGCCTCCATTTGATAATGTAAATGCCCTAGGCCAGTTTGGGCTTAGCATGTTGGAGAAAGAAGGCCTAGAGACTAAAGCATGATGGATTAGGGGAACATGGTGTGAGATCTGGTAAGAAATCATAGGACCAGATTACTTCTGACTATATCAGATTTGATTTTATTAAAACTACAAAGAGAAGCTAATGGGAGTTTTTAAGTAGTGGAGAGAAGTAGCCATGTTTTAGTAAGCTCACTTTGCCTGTGAGTGAAAATGGGTCAAAAGAGCCAAAGTGAGACCAGTTAGAATGCAACAGCAGGAAAACAATGATGGTGGTTTCTGGAACTGGAGACAAAAATGGACTGATTTGTGTTATGTTATGGAGATAGGGATAACAGGACATGCTGGTTGATTGGAATTGGAAAATGGGAAAAGGCATCTAGGATAAGTCCTACGTTTTTAGCATCAGTAACTATGCAGATGATGGTGCCACTTACTAATATATGGAAGACCGGCTACAGAGCACAGTTTTTGTTAAGAAAGTTAATAGCTCAGTTTTGGCCAAGGTAATTTTGAGAGGACTGTTAGGTTAATGGAATATTAAGAAGTCAGTTAGATATATAAGTTCATATTCTAGAGAGAGTTGTGGACCTGAGATACATGTTTGAGATTTACTGGAATATTAATAATATTTCAAACCATGAGAGTAGATGAGATTCACTAGAGAGGACATGTAAATCAACAAAACAATGGACCCCAGGACACCATAACATCTAGATGTATGGCAACAGGGGAGAAGAAACAGCCACAACAAGAAAATATTTCAGAAGGAACAGAGTAAAACTCTGTAGAATTCTACTGAAAAATTAAATAGATAAAAAAAGAGAAATGACCATTGGATTTGACAAAGTGGGGATCATTGGCACCTTTGATAAGAGAATTCATGGAGGAGTACTGAAGCCAATTGGAGTGGGTTGTGGAGAAACTTGAAAGTGAGGAAGAAGAGAACAAAATCATAGGCAGAAATTTTAGGGAGTTTTGCTGTGAAGGGAAGTAAAGAAATGTGAAGATATGACATCAAAGAAAGGTTAATAGTTTGTTCTTTTTTTAAAAAAATAGGAGCTTGTCACTTAACAAAAGAAAGTGACTCACCATCTCCAATTATCCCTTGCTAAAATTTTTATTCTCTGTTCCAATGACCTAAAAGTAACAGTCATATACATTATGGACAAACAATATGCTAGGAAATATGTGATTTGCCCTTAAATGTGTGTTAATTGCCATGCACGTAGGAATTTTTAGTTCCCTGACCCTGTTTCTACATGGAAAAAAAATTTATATATATATAATTTTTCCAGTTGTTAAGTATTAACCATTTCAAATGCTTTTGATAATATTTCATGTCTTAAATTTACTATTTTAATGTAAGTTCATTATCTATTATCTTGGAGGCTAAGCATGAATGGATTCCCTGGGGTACCAATGATACTGAGAAGAAATATAAACTCTGATGAGGTTCATTGCTGCTGTAAGGGGGACAGGGACCTCCAAGTTCCTTATTCCTCACTCTGTGCTTGGGTGACTTTTGGTGCTTTTGAACAAATGATCCCGTCTCCTGGGCCCCTGCACTGACAGTCATCAGATGTGCTCCCTGCAGTTTGACAGCCTGGCATAATGGAGCAGAAGTGCTGTGCTAAGAAATACCAAACTTTAAAAACACACACATAAAAGCACTTTGTAGAAACTTGCAAGAATATACTTTTTTTCGCAATCTGTTACTAAGAAAAATAATGTACCATTCTTCTAGATGTAAAGAAGAAGCAAAATCCCAAAGTATAATAGTACCCAAAACGAAATAACATTCATCACCAAAAACTAGTTTGTAGTTCATTGGGCTCTGCCTTAACTGAAACTTGCTGTTCCATTAATTATAAGAGAATCACAAACAACTATGCCTTCAAAGATCGTTCGGTATATTAGAGCATGAAACAGGCTCATCCTTCCTGTGGTGGAGTCAGGAGGAGGCACAGTGAGCAAGGAAGCTCCATCTAGACAGTATTAACTCTGAGGCAGTGTTTCTCTTTTCTGCTTTATAGATGGTTCCAACGCCGCTACTGTGCCCAGCCCTGCTTCAGAAGAGGCAATTGAAGTCTGTAAAGATGAAGGTATGAGGTTACTTACTACATCTAATAATTAAAACCTCTTAGGAGACCATTTTGGATTTGTTTATATGGAGACATGAAACAGTGAGCAAATCTATCTATTGGGTTGTTGGAAAAGTCATGATGGATTTTTGCAACGGAAAACATAGAAAAAATATGTCATGACTTTTCCAACAACCCAATAATTAAGCATCTCTATTTCCAGCACAATCAAATATCTCACCCACTTTGTTTTATTCCATATCTGCCCTTTTCAGAATTTATATATACATTTACATTTGTTCCTCTAAAAAGTAACTTTATAAAACAAGAGAATGATTGGGAAAATTATTTTTAGAGAAGGCATTTATTTGAAGCACCAGAATTAGGCAGTTTTGCTGTATACATCCTCTCATCAGGAATACATTCAAAAGAGTGGCACCTGGGAACTACCTACCAGAGAATTTTATCATCCAGACATAAGAAAGGATTAATGTTTAAAAGGCAACCTTAGAAATAAATCTTTGGCAAGAGCATCATTCCTCATTCTATGGATAGTTACTATGAGAAAATGTTGCTGATCCAAGTATTTCCAGAATGAAAAAAAAATGGAAAAAAATTTGAGGGAAAAATAGTTGGGACATTCATGTGCAGATGATAAGTTATATATATATTAAAGTAATCCTTTCTTTGCTTTCCCTCCTGATTAACTGTTCCCACACAAAAAGGTAATATTTTATATGTCACTGGTAACTACTAAAAATCCTTCTGTGTATGGTATATTAGATTGTTGTATTAGTATAAATGGACATCTGGTTAACCATGTGATTTCCTTGGAACTTTCGGATAAATATGCTGAATGCATTTCTTTGGTTTGGAGTAATATGAAAATAGATTCATACTTGACAGTTCATAACATCTAGTTTTTGAATTGATGTTTGGAAATTCAATGAAGTTTTGAAATTTTAATACTCAGCTATTTGCATCATTTATTTCTTTTTATGTTGCCTGGTAAATTGGTGTTTGTAAACAAAATGTCCTGTGTAATGAGGGTAGTTGCTAAGATTATGAATTCTGGAGCTCACAATGGTTGAGGCTTAAATCCTGACTCTGCCACTCAAAATTTATATAACTTTTGAAAAGTCATTCAAGCGCTTAACAAGGAATTAACAAGTAATGAAAAGTAATTCACTTTTTCGTGCTTCAGTTTTCTTCTCTGTAGAATAGGGGCAATAATAGTATTTATCTCACAGAATACAATAATACATGTCAATTGCTCAAACTGTTCACCTGGCACCTGTGCAAATTGGGCTCCCCAGAAGACAGACTGTGCAATGGAAATTAGGGAGGAGACATGTATTAAGGAGAGTTCTTGGAATTAACACCTGGGAAAGGAATAGTAAGAACACAGAACTTGGTAAAGGGAGAAGCTGAACTGCAAGACATTCTCCACAGGAGCCACAGCTTGTCTGAAAATGGCATGACCCTTCTGAGATGTCTCAGTGCAAAGAGACTTAGGCTATTAAAACCTCCAATTAATATGTTACCTGAACTTGGCTGCCTTGGGAAGGGGATGTGGTCTTGGATGAGGTGACTCTTCACTTGAGGTAATCCTGGAAGTTTGAGATGGATGAGGGCTGCCTGCAGCTGGGAAGATAAGTTCTTCATTCCTAAAGTGGGATCTGGTTGGCCCAACACAGCATCTACCACACTGTTAGTTTTGGTGGTCCTTTTCTTATTCATTGCCACCTTTTTAAATGAATCCCTTACCTCCCTTCATCTAATCAGATATGTGTTCTGACATCACTGGTTTTAAAACCATTTGGTATATTTAAAAATGTAAATAACGTCAGATATCCGTATAGGTTCTGATAAGAAGAAACCCAAGTCACCTTAGAAATATAAACCTGACTAACTCAGAGTGAAAAGACAGAAAGTGATGTTCATCCTAAGTAAATAATTTTGGACATGACAATCATTTTTCTGTGATAAAAATTTTTAAATGTCATGAAGTTGAATGACAGTGATTAGGAAACAAGAAAGATAATCTAATTTACATGCTTCAAGCTGAGATTTTTCCTGTTGTTTGTTTTGGAAATATCACACCTTTATAGAAACACAGTTTGTGATGTCTCTTGATGCTTTCTCGATCTCACATGTCACATCCCGCATGACATGGGCAGTGGGAGAATGAGAGGGGGTGGCGAAGGGTTAAAAAGAAAAGAAACAGCGGCCAATAGTTAAATGAACAAGGGGCCAAGGGTCTCCAGCCTCACAGGACTGAGAGCCCCAAATCGGGCCAACCATGCCACTTTTATTTCTCCACGTACCCAGAAGTAGCATTGTTCTCTCCACAGTCTGTGAGTCTCATTCCTGAGAACTTGCTCAAGCCAGATTACCCATGATGCCTGCAAGCTGCTATTACCGAGAGTCCGCCCATGGTGATCAGACAAATGCTCTGCCTTCACACACCCATACACATATGATCCCAGGAATATAAGATTATTATGCTGAGGACAGATCATCAGGTCACTTCCAAGCAGGTTGAGGGAAGGAATGTAGCTACAGGGGTAGAAGACCTCCACTCTCTTTGGGAGGTGGGTGAGGACCCATGCCCACCTCCATCAGCCCTGAGATTTCTCCTGATGGCCCCCATTTGACTGTGCCTGTTCCTTCCTGGAAGACTGTTACCCATCATTGACTAACCAGTCACCTTTTGGGGCCAAACAGGGAGATGCAAGGTGTATGAGCAGTGTCCTCAAAAGGGTCAGTTTAGGGTTAAGCGTGGTGGGGGACAGACAGCTGGACAGCTGCGTGGCAACATTCACACTATTAACTGCTTATGACTATCAATTTCTCAGAATGCTTTCAGGATTTCTTCTGTATGAAACTTGTAATGGTGGTAACTCCCAATAAGTTCTGCCACATATCACAAATACAATTCCCTCATAAGACTAAATGTGAAGTTTTAAGGATTTTACTACATTAAGCTCTTAATCTAGGGAAAAGGAAATTTTTTAAAATCCACACTAGCGGGAGATTGAGGAAAATGGCGGCAGGCTCCCTGAGTTCTCCCCTGGAAATCGTCGTAATTTGAACAGCTGGAGCTCAGCAAACAAACCTCTACCGAGCACGCTGGGCAGCGAAGGGACTCCCACGCCCAGTACTTAAAGGTGGGCAGACCGGGCCAGTCGGGGAAAGAGGGAGGCGAGGCGCGTGGAGGTACAGCCCGCACCCACTGCTGCTGAGACTCTGGGTCTCAGAGAGCAGATCGGAGAGTTCCCGCAGCTCACTCCCTGCACCTCCAGCCCGCGCTAAGGCAGAATCCTCAGGCCAGGCAAGTAGGGGAACAGAGAGAGGAGAGGGCGAGCAGAGGCACGGTCCATCCGCGCCCGCGGCTGCGAAACTATAGGATTTTAGGACATGGTGGAGGTGTTTGCAACATCAGGGCAAGCTCAGCCTCTGGGCCGACGGTCCATCCCAGAGTGCGACAGGAGCCCGAGGGCGGGTGGACTCTGAGGCGGTAACCTCTAACCAGTTGAGCAGGAGAATAGGGAAAACAGAAGCGTGGAGATGCAGCCCACGTCCCCACAGCTGCGGAGACACGGAGCTGCAGCACCAGGGTGGGCTCCTGGAGCACAGCAG